GATATAGGAAGTGATATAGCGTTTCTGGTTCAGATGAACAAAATGAACACGAGTCATTCAATTTAAAGCCAATTTTGTAAAGTTTAGCATTAGTATAGAGAATGGAGTTAAGAATTTTGTATTGAAATGCCTTAACATATGCTTCAAGAGCAACACTATGCGGGATCATAAAAATTTGTTTAACTTCCTCGAGTGTGAAATGAAATTCATTTTGCAGCTTGTTTACATTAGTTGGAAAGAGAGCCTTTCTGCTTACAAGTAAAGTATAATAGTCTTTAGATTTCTTCTTTGTGACATCAAATATATTATCGTCAATTTTTAGAGAAAGTTCACCTGTTGTTGATTTATGAGTACAATTTTTTAAAATGGAAGGAATGGAGTGTCGAAGACCTGCCCAAACTAAAAAATTAGTTTTAGAAATCCTGTTAGAAACTAAGGAAAAGGAATCTTTGTTATTTAAGTCAAAGGATAGATCGCTGATGTGAACTACACCAGCTTCGAAATAGCTTTTATAATAAACTGTTTTATTATTAATGAGTATTTGTTTGTTATTCCAAAGAATATAACGCCAGTCTTTTTCTGAAGAGAACGTATCTCTAAATTCTGACCACCACTGCAGTAATTCTAGATAGAATAGAGAAATATTCAGTGGAAGGATACTAACATCATAATTGCAATGAAACAAGAAAAGGCCGCCAAAGCGTTCTAGATGATGTGTCAGATACCTTTTCCAGGTGCCATCATTTGAGCTAGCTATTCTTTTTAGCCATGCCAATCGAAGCGATATTATCATGCTATCAAAATCAATCATCTTTAATCCTCCGTTGGAGTATTCATTTATCGCCGATCTGCGTGTGACTTTATCACGACCATTCCATAAGAATTGAAATAATAACTGGTTTAACTGACTTACAAATTCTTTTGGGGTAGGTATTAAAGATGACACATAAACAAATTTCGGGATTAATAGAGATTTGATAAGTGTAATTTTGCCATAAATAGAAAGTCCTCTAGAGGACCAAATTCTAGTCAGGTTTTTAATACTGTCTAATCTTTCTATGAAATTCTTTTCAAGAAGCAATTTTTGATCATACGTGTAATAAATTCCTAAAGCCTTTATCGGTTCGTTAGGCCATTTAATTCCAAAAGGCTGTGCTTTGCAGTTCCTTGAAGAACCTATCCACATAGCTTCCGTTTTGGAACAATTAATCTTTAAGCCAGAGACAATCTTGAAATCATCTAACAGCCTAAAAAGAGCAGTAGCAGAGCTTGTGTCGGCAAGTATTGCTGTCGTATCATCTGCGTATTGAAGAATTTTTGTCTCCTCACTCCCAATAGAGATACCTTTGATATCTCTATTTTGTCGAATCGCAATTGCTAATGTTTCTATAGTAACTACAAAGAGGTAAGGAGAGAGCGGGTCCCCCTGCCGTACCCCACGTTCAAGATTAAAGTATTCAGATGAAAGTCCGTTGTTTATCACACAGCTTTGTATGTTTCTGTAGAACGTTTGAACCCAATGGATGAAATTAGGGCCAAAATTGAAGGATTTCAAACAATAGAGAAGAAATTCCCATTCTACGCTATCAAATGCCTTTTCAAAATCAATAAATATCATTAGTCCCGGAATACTTTCTTTTGCAGTGAAATCCATAATATCGAAAACTGATCTAATTGTTTCGCCGATATATCGGTCTTTCACGTATCCAGTTTGGTTATGGTGTATAATATTTGGAAGAACATTTTTAATTCTAGTGGCGATCACTTTAGACATAATTTTTGTGTCAACGTTTACGAGAGAGATTGGACGCCAGTTCTCAATATATGAACGATCTTTTCCTTTTTTTTCTATTAGAGTAATTACCGCTTGTTTTTGAGAACAAGACATTTCACCTTTTTCAAAGCTTTCGTTCACGCATTTAAGAAAAGGATCGCTTATTAAAGGCCAGAACACTTTGTAGAATTCTATAGGAATTCCGTCATTCCCGGGAGTTTTGTTGGTTTGAAAGCTTTCGAGGATATTGTAACATTCCTCAGCTGAAATTTTGCCTTCGCAGGTCAACTTTTGTTCTTCGGTTAATTGAGGTATATTCAAATTCTCTAGAAACTTTACAATGTTCTGACGGTTTTCCGCATCACTATTTGAACTTTTGTATAACTCTCGATAAAAACGTTTTTGTTCTTGAAGAATGTCATAGGGATCTGTCTTTACGACGCCGCTGATTACTAGTTTCCTTATATGCTTTTTTACATGATTTCTTTTTTCTAAGTTTAGGAAATATTTGGTACTTTTCTCGCCGTGTTCATGCCAACGTGCTCGGGCACGGATTATTATTCCGTTGACTTTTTCATCATAAAATGATTCGAGCTTATCCTTAGCCGCATTTAAATTGTTGCCATTCGAATCATTGGGGTTCGTTTCGAAAACCTGTTTCGCTTCAGTATATTCTTTTTCAAGTTTTGATCCTCTTTCGTTTCTCTCCTTTGCCTTCTTTTTGGAATATTTTATAGCATGAGCTCTTATGTTATATTTTATCCAGTCCCAAATGTTACGGTGGTCGGAAAGTTCTTTTCGGCCTTCCTTGATCCAAATTGGTACCATTTTTGTAAGGTCATCAATGTACTCATCATCCTCCAATATGGAGGTGTTCATCTTCCAGAACCCAGGACCCTTAGCCTCTTTGTCCACGTTCCCAAATTCTAAATAGATAGCAGAATGGTCAGTTCTGATGGCGGGGATTATATTTGTGGCTTTGACCCAGTCATGTAAATTGTTAGAAATCAACCAATAATCAAGGCGACAAAATATCGGCGGAGATCGTTGACTCCAGGTAAAACTTTTAGTTTGCGGGTTTTTAACTCTCCATATATCTACAAGATCTAGTTGACTTTGGACATCGTTGATGAAATTTATCACAGATTTCCTAGGCGTCATTATGCCACCTTTTTTGTCCAGTGTAGGATTCAGAGGACAATTGAAATCACCTCCAATCACAATATTTTCTTCTGAATCTAAATTTTCGGTCTGCAGCTTAGATAACACATTTTTGAGGAATTTAATGATGTCTTCGTCTTTGTTTGGTGCATAAATGTTTACGAGAACATACATTTTATCTTTGATAGCGGCTTTAACAACGATATACCTCCCCGATGTATCTACAATTTGAGAGTGAATAACGCAATCAAGACCTTTTTTGATTAAGATTGCAACACCTCGAGAGTTTGAGCTCCCATGGGAGCAAATAAGTTCTGCACCCCATTCGTTTTTCCATTTTAACTGTGTTGACAATGTCGAATGAGTTTCTTGCAGGAATATTATATCCGAGTTTCGTTTTCGACACCACGTGAAAATTGTTCGCCTTTTTCTGAAATTGCTTAGTCCCCTCGCATTGAGAGATAGTAGATTAAGAGAATGATCGGTCATTAGAGCTGAATCGGGGAAGTGGTATTATAGAAGAAGTCATATAAAACGAAAATGAAATCGATGGTATAGCAGAGTGCAAGAAAATATAGTGCACATAAACGATAATATTCGCCCTAAAACAAATTATTAATCTACAGAAAAACATACAGTAACATATCAAGTAAGAAGTTTCCAGTGCACTCACATTTCTAATTAAACAAGGAGGGTTAAATAGTTTAACACTTATTACACACATAAACCTTAAACTAAACTTAACTATTGATGTGCTGTCGCGCTGTGACCGCTTTGGCTTTAGTTTCCGCTGTTTCTTGCGTCCATAATGAGACCGTAGTATGGGAGATTGGTTGTTTCTTCACCTCTGTAGATTTGCCCGTTTATAATTAGCTTATCAACTTTGAAATAGGCTGTTTGCTTTTTCTGTTTGGCCTTTTTCAAGATGGAATATAACGTTTTCTGTATTTCATCAATTTCCCGGGGGAAATCATTCGCGATTGAAATGTTAGTGTTTTTCAAGTTTTTAACAAAAGACCAAACATACTCCTTGTCTTGAAAGAAGCTAAATTTAGCTATAATGGGCCTAGGTTTCCTATTAAGCTTGTTTTATGACAAAGTAAGGATTCTGACATCGACGCTGCAGAACCCGAATTGTTAAAGAAACAACATGGATCTGTAAACGGCCTTGACGCAAGTAAAGAATAGACTGGAGAGGGTCGATTTCTCTCTCTTTTGAACGCCTCCCATATCTATTAAACGCCAGAGTCTGGGCTCCTAAATAAAATATACAGCATGATCGTCAATTAGACAATTTAAGGTACATGCATGAGGTTCATTACCTTCAACCTTCAATGATTTTTCTATTCCGCAAAAAGCAAATGGTCTGCATCTTAATTACATGGATGGATTAAGAGGTTTGATGGAAAACTATAGGAAACTGAAATTTATTGGGAACTGACTTGAATTTTGAGAATCAGATAAGTAATTCATAACAGAATCACATCTGCAGGACTGGCGTATATAAATGCATGCACGTGTTGGTTGTGTCCAACAACCGCACGCTTAATATTGACGGAGCAACAAGTCGGTGGCTTTATCCAAACAGCCCCACATAGATTTTTAATGTTTAGTTTCTAAATTGCTCGCATATGTGTAAACTTTGTAAATTTTCTAACTCAGTCTTTGGCCGAGGGAGATCTGGGTACCAGATCAGTATTTAAGTGTTTCGTCCTATGTAAAGCAATCCGGATTCTGGAATGCGGGAAATTTTTGCTTGTGAAATCCGGAATCGTGGGCTTTAGCATCCGGAAACCAGCGCAAGGATTGGAGTCCGAAATCTAGTACCTGGACAGCTCCGAAATCCATACGGTGGAATCCAGAATAAATGAGATAATGGCCCGCTTGGATTGCTTTTCAAATTTGGGACAAGGGTGAAAACGTTTAAAAAATAAAAGGGAACCATGGGCACAAAAACAAAGTATTATAACCTAGACAAATCTTTTTTATTTGCATTTCTATTTGTATTTTGGAACTTTTCTTCTACGGACTTTTTGTTTCATTACATCCTCCAAATTATCCGTTATCACTGCTCCTGCTGCCGATCCTCCTCTAATTCCCGTTTGCAATCCAACTCACGAACGGCTGCAGAAATATTGCGCCGGTAGTTCGGTCTCGTCTCCTGAAAAAAAAAAAAAACCGATGAAATCCGTAGTAGGCTGAACCCATTTCAGGTAGGCACCCTGTGTTAGAAATTTGTTAGCCTAAGAAAGTCATGAACTTTCCATACCATATTTTGAATAATAATTAAACCAGTCTTCGTGAGAGTTGAGCTCTCACGAAGCGAGCGAGTGTTCCCGTGACGTCTGTTTAATCATCATGAAAAGTTTCTCTGTAATTTAAAGACGACCACATTTTCTTTTGGTTGATGACAAACACCGAAAAAAAACATGACAATGAACACTGAAAGGCGGAACCAACTAGAAAGTTGGTTTAGCCTCCTTCCCGTTGGAATAGTTGTTATCATAACAGTTATGACAATGAAAAATGGTCATTACCTTCCCACGTTTGCCGTTCTTACGCCAAACGCGTGACCCAATACAACCAGTCTCTTTTACCAGCAGTGAAAACAAGTGCGTCAAACAAAGAAGAATCAATACTGTAGATTTCATTCTCGAGCGTTGTTATGGCCGGTGGTTTTGTGAGCTCCTTCTTAAGGGAGGTACAGAGTACAATAGATTGAGCTGCTTTGACACACGTTTCCTTTTATTAACCGGCCAGCTACCTATGCCATGCACCTGAAATGCCATGTAGGCAACACTTAAAAAAAGAAATTTTTATACTCCCTTGAAACGTCAGCGTTAATTGTCTTTTACAAAGGGACCGGCCTTTGCAAATGGTTTTTTAATTGCTACAAACGGTAACCTTGTTGTAGTTGGATTAATGAGACAGCATTTGTCAAATCAGGCGTAGAACGAGTAATGATCTAAAAATGTTCAGTGACAGCTTCGTTACGATTAATAGCGTGTTTACAGTGTTTATTTATCAATGCTATACGTAGCAATAATATGTCTTTTTTTTCGTTGTTGTTTTTGTTGTTTTCTTTTCTTTGCAATTTTGGTTTGTCAGGTCCTTCAGGTCTTCCATATCTTATAATTATGGTTCCATATTTTCTATCCCATATCACTTCATCTTTTACTATGTTTGCATGCATATCAACATGGGGTGCGTAATTAACACAGTTTACTGTTAAAAAAACCTTTTAGTCTTTTTTTCTTAAAAATAAGTATTAACAAGATTCAACGCGGTTTGGAACCAGGTTGTATGTTGATGTTCAATTTTATCCTTGGTATAAACTTCATTTTCCTTTGCTTCATACTCATTATCATTCATCATGTCCATTACCATACCTAAAAACAAAGGAAAACAAAATTTAAACCAAGGATAAAATTGAACCACAACATATACACATGTAGGCAGTAATATAGCCTGTAAAACAACTAATACAGTGCATATCTAGCTGTTTTTTTTTTTTTTTAACCTTAGTCCTTGGCGCTTGAAGAGCAAAATTTTTATTTTGTTCATAATGACAACTAACTGATATTCGTGGCGTATAAACAGTTCAAAGAAGCTGCTAAGATAAGAGGCGCCTCCAGTTTGGAAAAACGATGCCGACTGCCCCGAGATGCGACCAGAATTCCCGGGGAAAAACAAAATTATTTGGTCTAGTCAAGAGCCATAATAGGACAGAGAGGGACACTCAGGGCGTTGGCCGGAATATCTTAATCCCCAAAAAATTATTTTTAGAACTATGCGGACCATGCGAAAACAGTTTCCGGTTACCCAGCTGACTTTCGGTGAAGTGGTAGACTTCCCGAAGACTCGCTTTCATCCCCCAAAAAAATGGCGGCCAAAGTGGAGTAATGTGACTTTGATATGGTTAAATTGTCCTGCTTCAGCTACGAACTTTATTACCAAAGCAAATGGAAATAACTTCTACGCAATTGGATCCTTTAAAATCAACGGTAAAATACAGTTAAAGCCACCGCGTGAAAACGTTTCTGTTGGATCTGAAAGTGGTTAAGTCGCGGCGGCCGGTCGGAAGCCGAGGGTTTCCACACTTTTTTAATTTCGTTCAATTCTTCTATTTGGAAGGCAAACATGCCATAGGAACAGGATAAAACTTCTACACAAACAGATGTTTAAAAGAAACCGTGAAAAATTACAGTTATTCCGACTGCTGTATTTGGCGAAATAGGAAAAGGAGCCGGACAAGTCAGATAAGTGTGGACGTATTTTTGGTCGAAAGTGGAAGAAGTAAATGTTAGGTTCTCCAGTATTTTTCTCAAGGACATTACCAGGACTCTGCAGTATAGTTGAACACATCTTTTCCCGCCAGACAGAAATTTTGTTCTTTAACGCCCTCACTGGACAAACAAAAGCGATCAGCATCAAAAGAGGTATTATAAACTTTAGCTTATTGTTTTATGTTGCTAATCTTTTGGATTAAATGTGATAGTATGGTAACTCCGTCTGGGTTTTATTTGCTTAATACGATAACTAACTTTTTATTCCACGTGATCCTGCTGCAATATCTCTTACAAAGTTGGCACCAAATATATGTACAAATCCTTTACAAATGGTGTCGCCATTATTTGTACGGATAATTATAAACACTTGTAAGCCAAAAGTGAACTAAGAAAATAATGTCATAACTTACAGTAGTTTATATTTTGATGTTTTTTTGGCAGAACATTGATGCCTGATGTATTGCTTATTTAATATGGGATGACTGCATAAATCTTGGGGTACATGCATCCCTGATATTTTTTTCTCCCTCCAACACTTAATGCATGATTGTCTTGTGTGTATGGGGTTAAAAAGTAAAGAGGTTTTGACTGACCCATTGTTGTCTTTTTAAAATAATGAACCAGTTAAGAGTGATTGAAAGTGAAAATAAAACATTTTTCTTCAAATCATAGTTTGAGAGGAAACTGGTTATGAAAGCCGGCAAACATTATGGTTGAAAACAACGGTGCTGTAGTTTATGTTGGAAGCTCCCTGACTGTGCACAAACCTTTGTCTTTGTTCACAAATTGCGACTGGATAAATTTATGACATGTATCTATTGGTCAGAAAGTTCAAAATGGTGCATACTCAAATCCTGTTACACGGGTGGGTGCCTGTTACAAGGACTTCGACACTATTTCACAGATGGACTTAACCAGAGTTTAATTTCATCTGTGGCGCAGACTTCCCTTTTACACGAGTTCTAATCCAATTATTTTAAGAAACAGTTAGGAAATATCGTTCAGTGCCAACACGGGGAGCGTCTTGCAATAAATTAATGTTTCCCAGCCTACTGTCATGCATGAACTTCTTTTGCAACTGTGCACTTGTCCAGGATCTTTTTTCTTACCCATATCAAAATTGTTTAACACTCCCCTCAGAAATAAAATGTTTAGTCTCTTAGGCAGCAGCCGGTACATGTATGAGGGGGGTCAAGGGGGATCTCGTCAAGGGTTTCACGAACAACAGTTTTGTGTTTCACAAGTCACAAAACAAAATAATAGTGTAATTGTTGACCTTTGATCTTGGCCATCTGTTTACGGCTATAAATTCCCTAGGAAAGCCAGCTGTAGGTGGGTCTTAGTGCACTGAAGTGTGGAGTTACATCAAAAGACTCACAAATGAAGTTAAAACAAACCACCAGGTGCTAGTTACGGTGGTTTGGCCAAAGTAATGATTTAATTTCTTCAATTAATCTTTAATGTACGTGTACACAATCAATGATTTTGGCGGTTCACCTTTCACGAAGTGCACCAGACCACTACTAGGATACTACTAGTAGCTAAAAGCGCCAGCTTTTTGGCGGCAAAAAAGGATTGAAGTCGAGCTTTAACTAGCTAAGATTGTTTTGTCTCGATATTTGGTTTTCACTAAAACAATAATTATTCCTCTCGCCCTCATGACCTCTGAGTCAATAGCCCATTTATGTTTGACTTTAATTGCAATTTTTTGAATTTAAAACATTGTCAATGCTCACAATGAAATGTAATAGCCATGGAGCTATGTATGGTGGGCATTAATTTGGAAAAATTAGCATAGCGTCAAAACAGTGAATGTTGTAACGCGGATTTTTGGTCGGTTCGCAGGCTGAATTCGTCCTGATATTTCAAGGTGCTGCAGTGAATCAATCTTAATGAAAGTTTCATACATTATTATAAACATCATGAAGTTTAAAAATAATTCTGTCGAGCCGTTTAAGAGATAATAGAAAAGCGCTAGAAGTCAAAATTTAGAATAAGGTTGCACTTAGAAAGGTGGTAAGAAAACAGGTTAATTTTCAGGATCGTTAACGTTTCATTTGAATTTACAGGTATACAAACAGAATTTTAATTTTTACTGCTCACGGAGGTTATTTGTTAAATACCAAATCTGTAAGTTCCTGGTAACCGATTTTCAGTAGCAGGTCTAGATCGCGCGAAATTTGGATTGAATCGATTTTAAAGGTTTTTCTTTATTGTTGTCATAGTTTCTAAAAACTGCATTTTGACGAATTTCAGTTCATAGTCAATCACTGGTGAAAATTTTGTGCCGATCAGGTCAAGGATAACATCACTTTTAAGGCGATTGAAAAAACATCGGTATGTTCTGCGAAAAACTGTATCGAAACACCTTAACAAACTTACAGATTTCATGCTATCAACTCCTTCTGTTCGTTGACCATTAATAAACTGCATCAAGAGAGAATATTGCGGTACAGAGAGGGAAACGCCCAGTCTAGTCCTTGGAGTCATCTGAATTTCACCAAAGTTATTTTTACACCAATTTATAAACCCATGAAACTATCGGAAGTTTGTTCCCGAAGAGGTCCGCAAACTTTTACTCAGTATTACATATTGACTGGAGAGAATTCAACAGCCGCAGGAGCCGAGTAATAGGCTCCTGATCTGACAGCCGTCATCAAAATATTCTGCATTGTTTGGTTTGCCTTGAGGCAGTCGCGCGTGGGCTTGATGACGTTTTAACCAATCGATTAAAACGTGCGCACGTCTCAGGAATGAGGCCTCTAAGACCGTTTACCTGTAAAAGTAACTTTGGTAATATTCACTTATTCAGGCAGACGCCCTAAGATTCACTCTGAGTCCCATTATTCTCTCTAGGCTGCATTCATCTCAAAAAAGGCCTTTGAAACTTTTAGTATTTTAGTCTCCCAACTTGCGTTTAGTAAATAGCAGTTTGTTTATTCATCAAACACAGTTTGACGATCTATGGTAAAAGTTGGTCGCTATGGTTACGAGTCACTGACGACGTTAATAGTCACAAAGACTCATTTTCTTTAGACCTCTAGCATGTAAATTACATACCTTTGCTCCGTTTTTTTTTTTCCTTTCTTAGCATAAACTAGCCTGCGCGCAGACGAAATTAAACTCTGACTCGCACAATTGACTTCAGTGACACTAATTTGAAATGTTTGTCTGACTTTTGTCCCTTTTTTTTTATTTTGATGACAAAAGTCGCGACAAACAAGAAATCAACTAGCACGAAAGAGTACGCAATAAAATATTTCTTCAACACATCTATTATCTCACTGATGACGTCCTTTTATAAAGAAACATATGACTTATCGGTGATCAACACGAAAAAGTCCATTGAAAACGCGATGAAT